CTTATACTTAGGCTTAAGTAATCAATTATACAAACAGAAGATAGAAAAGGCAGGGAATTCATCTGCAAAAGATCTAGGGGGGAACAGGAGTTAGGGGAATACAAATTCAAAAAGTCAACAGAGTGCTATGACAGCCAGAATCTAATGATGCAATCTTAAACTGAACCGAGAGACAGAATGTCAATCAACCAACAAGCATTTATTTAGCACCCACTGTGTGCCAGGTACTGTCCTGACCTAGTAATGACTGCACAGTTGTTATCCACCCTAGTTAGACTGTAACTGGAATATTTGATTCAATCTGGACACCACAACTTAGAAATGGCACTCACAATAATAATGCCTGGCATTTATCTAAGACTTTAAGGTTTACAAAGCATTCTGCATAAGTCAATTCATTTGATCCTCACAATAACACTGTTAGAAAAGTGTATACTGTGAAGTTGGTTTGAAAAAAAAAATCTATGTGTATTGATTACATTTTATTCTGTTGCACATTGTTCAGCCACTTGTTTCCTGGCAGGAGTGGATCTAAATTAGTCTTAACTTAATAATAGGTAGCATTTATATGTGAATGTTAGGTTTGCAATTTTTTTGTTGTTGTTTAGTCATTTAAGCTGTGTCCGACTCTGTGACCCCATTTTTTGGGAGGGGTGTTGGCAGAGATACTGGAATGGTTTGCCATTTCCTTCTCTAGTTCATTTTACAGGTAAGGAAACTGAGGCAAAGAGGGTTAAGCCTTGCCCCGGGTCACATAACAATAGTTACGCACCTGAGGCCATATTTGAACTTACGAAGATGAATGTTGCTGATTCCAAGCCCAGTGCTCTATCCATTACGGCCACCTAGCTGCCCCTAGGCTTATGACGTTCTTTACAAATATTATGTCATTTGATTTGAATAGGTGCTATTATTATCCCCATTTTACAGATGAGGAAACTGAGGCAGACAGAGGTCAAGTGATTTGCCCAGGGTCTAACACAGCTAGTAACACAGCTGATGCTGGATTTGAACTCATGTCTGACTCTAAGTTCTGAGCTCTATCCATGGTTCCACCTAGCTTCCTCTTACTAGAGGCATGAGCCAGTGCAGTGAGGACAATGATCATGTTAAGTGAGGAGTAACTGAATGAACTTGGCACGAGGTTTAGCTTGGAGAAAAGAAGACTAGGTGGCAGGGGGAGGAGTAATAGAAAGAAAGCTGCCCTCAATTATAGCTAAGAGCATTTAGATAGCACTTTAAGACTTGCAAAGTGCTATACATATTACCTTGTTTAATAATTTAAATGTCATTTATGAGAACTATTAGTTGCATTATGTTTGGTCCCAGAAGACAGAATGAGGAATGATGGGTCCAAGATGAGATTTCTCAACAATGAAAGATATCCAAAAGTGGAATGGGCTACTTTGGAAGGCAGTGGGATCTGTGTCACTATCAGTCTTCAAGTCAAGACTGGATGCCCACTTGTCAGGCATGTTGTATAAGGAACTGTTGTTCACATACAGGTCTTGTGAAATGACCCGGGAGGTCTCTTCCATCTCTAAGATTCTAGGAATGGTATGTTCATACATAATGGTTAGCTATGAATTCTAGGAACCCAAGAAAAACTCAGAGAGTGCCTCCTTCTAATAAGGCTTCTTCTCTCCACCATTCCATCCATCATCTCTTAAGAAATGCTATGCTAGCTAGCTGTAGTGGTACACACCTGAAATCTCTGCTATGAGGCTGAGGCAGGTAGATCTCCTGAGCTTGGGAGTTTTGAGTTGCGGTGGACTAAACTGATCAGATGTCCATACTAAGGTAGGTATTAACATAGCAAGCCCCCAGCAGTGGGCAACCAGTCACCTGACTAAGGAAGGATAAACCAGCCCAAGTTGGAAAAGGAACAAGTCAAAGCTCCTGTGGACCAGTCAAGGTGGGACCACCCATGAGCCTAAGAGAAATTAGGAGACGCAGTCTTCCTTTTTTTTTTTTTAGGGAGTTATTCTCCTATACTAATAGTCAGTTTAGTTCAGTGTTCTATTTCTGCTACAGGTACAAAGTGACATTATTAGATAGGGCATGGATTTTGTGTGTGTGTGTGTGTGTGTGTGTGTGTGTGTGTGTGTGTGTATGATATCAAACACAAAATGTTAAGGCCACACAAAAATACCTTAATAAGCTGAATCTATAATCCATGGATATGTTGAAATCCTTCTTAAAGAGGCAGGGTAGTGTAGTGGACAGAGAGTTGGCCTCAGGGCCACAAGGACCTGCATTCAAGTCTCATCACTGACACATACTCACTGTGTGACCCTGGGCAAATCACTTAACCTCTCAGTGCTCTAGGCAACTCTCTGAGACTATAAACTACAGAGAAGGTGTCACTTTGTATTGGTTGAGAGAGTTCTCTGGTTAATGAGTTCCCTAAACTAAAGAAGTCACAGGTCCAGTCCCCATTTTAAAACTATTCAAATTTTGTTGTTGTTCAGTTGTTTCAGTTGTGTCTGACTCTCCATGACCCCCTTTGAGGTTTTCTTGGCAAAGATATTGGAGTGGTTTGCTTTTTCCTTCTCCAGTTCTTTTTTTTTTTTTTTAAACAAATGACAAACTGAGGCATGCAGGGTTAAGTGACTTGCCCAGAGTTACACAGCTAGTAAGAGTCTCAGGCCAGATTTGAACTCAGGAAGAGGGTCTTCCTAACTTCAGGCCTGGCACTCTATCCACTTCTCCACCTAATTGCCCTATTCATATTTTTAGTTCATACCAACTCAGAGCCCAGCCCTACTCCCTGTTCAAATCAATACTTCCTCCTTTTGTCCTAAATCTGCTTATTTCAAGCTTCAAAGGGCTGGCCCCCTATTGAGTATCCCAGGATCTGGTGAACAAATCTGTGCTTCGTGAATTTATAAAATGTGATAATATCTCTCCTCATACTTGATCTTTCTAGCCTATAGGATTCTATTTTTAAATCTACCCTCGAATGAAAGTGCCTTTTATCAGCTTAGCTGTCCTTCGGTAATATGTCTTTCTTGGGTCTAGAACTAGAAATGCATATAATATTTTAATTATGCTAACAAAGAATTTTTCCAAACTTCTCTAACTCCAGTTATCCTAGAACAAAGTCCAGGCTGGGGATGAGAGAGGGTAGAATAGTCATGAGGCCCAGAGTCACAGAAATAATGCCCAGAGGATCACAGATCTGGAGATGGAAGGGTACCAATGAGGAAATTGGTGGTGTCAGAGGTGGGATTTGAACCCAAGCTCCCTAATTCCAGGGATAAGAAATAATGTCCAAACTGAGACTGGAGAGATCAGTAACACAGAGCATCACCAGTTACTCCTAAAGGTTAAGCCTTCATCTTAGAATGAAAATGATTAGGGGATGTGGGAGTGCCCAGTTTATCATCAGACATTGTATAAAGCAGAGAGAGTTCTGGCAGGAGCTTTAAGAAGTCAGTTTAGCTGACAAACAGTTCTGAGATACAGGGGATACCTTAAGTATAGGAAAGTACTTTCCTGGTACCCCCCCTCCACCATCCCTTTGCCTATCCTACTTTACCACGTTCCTTTCCTTCTTGAGGGTCAAGGCTTCTAAACAAGATCCAGAGAGAAGAGAGAATTATAGGTTGGAAACAAATCAGGAACTTTTTATTCTTCCAAGGCATTATCGGGTGCATTTTGATATTCCTAAAAATCCAAAAATGAACTTTGCCCCCAGAAGCATCAAAGATGGACTGGCTTTCCAGTAATACTTGTGTTTTTAGGACACCTTTATCTAGCACCCCATTTTTTTCTTGTGTTACTTACACTTAGAGAGGCAGTGTGGTGTGATGAATAGAAAACCAGACTCAAAACGAAGAAGACCTGGTTTCATGTCCTGCCTCAGACAGCACTTACAGTGTGATCCTGGACAAGTCATTTAACTTTTACATGCCCTAGGCAACTCTTTAAGACTATAAATTGTAATGAAATTGCCAAGTGACTCCCCATGGGTAGGGGGAAATCAGGTCCAGTCCCTATCCCTCTTTACAATTTATTTTGCGTGTGAATAAAGTATCTGTAGTAGTTTTACATAATTTGGTGCTAACAAAGCACTTAAAAGTTTGTTCTCATAAGCAGGTTAATCATTCTTCCTCACAGTCTTATTTATGCTGCTAATTTGGTCAAATCCCTTTCTATTTTATACAGCAAAGGTATAATTGAGCCTAGGCAATCTCAGAACAGCAAATTCTAAAATACTTGAGATCTTCTATTAGTGAGGTTTTTGCCGTAAAGCAGGATTAGGCCTGCTAACCTGAAAATACCAAGTTTTCAAAGGAAAAAAAAAGGGCTGGCTTTAAAAGAAAACTACCTCCAGAAGTCTTATCTTTTGTACTCCTAACTAGGGGAGAAATGATACAAGCCAGTAAGGTTGGGGTGGGGGGACTGAGGAAGGATACGGTGAGAGGAGGCTCTGGGGAGAGAAGTGAGCGGACTGCGAAGCCTGCAGTGCCCCCATACATAGCTGAGCAGCCCAAGACTCATCCCCGTATACAATGTTTCTTATGAACCCCAGGAAACGACAAAAAGCATTCTACAAATGCACACTGACCACCCCACTGACCGTGCTCTCATCATTTCTCTAAAGGCAAGCTAGAAGCTTACGATCAAGTTTCACCGTATATAAGCTAAAGTCTTCTTAGATTTCGTATTTGGAGGATCTCTGTGCGTACCTACGCGCACGGGTCGGGGTCTCGCGTTCTTGTGGCTATACAGAACACAGTTCGATGTATTTACCAGCATCTTTTCTGATAAAGAAATGGAGACTATACGCCTCTGTGTAGCCCCAGCCCTGCATGGCAGCTCGGGTTTCCGCTTCTGCCCCGTCCCATTTTTTTTTTTTAAGCGGAATCGCACAGAAAGACTCCAGTATTCGAGCGAGCGCACAATAGGAAACTTAGACTCCTTCCCGGCCCCCCAGCTCCTCTCCGCTCCCCCACCATCCAGAGCCCTCCAGTGCAACCCAGACGATGACTTACTTTTCACTGCTGTGTTCCTGGCAGCTCACTCATTCTGGGCACGGGAAATCCGCCCTTTAAAGGAGGCAAAGGTTGCGCCCCGGCGCAGCGCCCGAGTCCCCACTGTTTGTGCTGCAGTGGCCACACTCCCCGCCCCTAGCTTAAAGCCAGACAGGCTGAGTCACATACATATGTCAAATTAAAAGTCCTCGCAAGCTAAGAATGCTGGGAAGGGCTTTTGTTTACAACTTGAAATCTCCCAGAGGGAAGATACACACGTTTCTATGGTCTATCCCTCCCATCTCATGGGTCAACTAATTCCAAGAGCTCTGTACCCGACACTTTTAAAGGCGTTGTTTTATGAGAAATCTTTCCCTTCTCAATTGCCCTCTACTTCCCTCCACATACTACACTGGGGTATTACAGAGCACTCCTATTTTCCCTCTTGGTGCCTTTGCACCCGGCTGACCCCATGCCTGGAATGCTCTCCTTTCTCCCCTCTACCTCTTGGTTTCTCTGGCTTCCTTCAAGACGCAGCTCAATTCTCATCTTCTGTAGGCCTTTCTCGCTCCCCCAGCTGCTAGTGACTTCCCTTTCAGATAACCTCCAGTCTACTGTGCATATACCTTGTATGTTATTTATCTCTTCTATCAGAATGTGAGCCTTCTGAGGACTGGAACTGTTTTTACCCTTTTTTTGGGCTAAGTTCCTGGCACTTAGTAATGGATTAATAAATGTCTTTTTTTAATTGAATTTTATTTTTCAATTAATAGAAATCTAAATTTATATTAAATTTAAATCTAAATGCTTTTTGACAGATGAATTAGTTGATGGATTGATTTCTGTTAATTGCATAATAATGTTCAGTTTAACTTTCTCCTGATCTCATAAATGGAAGTAAAATTTGAAAGTTGAGTCATATTGCTGTTGTGGAATGTCCTTCATTTTCAAGCTATATCTTTTAAATGAAATATAATTAAAATGTCTTAAACTACAAACAAGTGTATAAATTAAAATCCCAACAGCTCTATCATCAACAGAGATCATGAAAAAGAAAGGAGCCCTTCTATTCCATTCAAAATTTAAGATCATACACAATGTAAGATCATACAACAGCAGAACTGGAGTTTTCAGCTTTTTCACTGAGTCAATTCAAAATGCGATGCAATTGATCTGATCAATTTTTTAAAACACCCATTTAAAAATCACCTAAAACCCAAGTAAAGGACTTTCAGATCAATTTAATAGCCAATATGGACACTATCTACATTTCTTCCTGTAACAGTGGAATAATCATTTAAGGTTGAATATATCTTTCAGTATAATTTACAAAAATAATAGTTATTACAAGTCACAGTGAATAATAATGATGATGATGATGATGATGGTAGCTAGTATTTGTACACCCCTATAGGATTTGCAAAATGCTTTACAAATATTTTCTCATTTGATCCTCTAATTAACTTTGGGAGGTAGATGTTATTGTATTTCCATTTTATAGATGAGGAAATTGAGGCTGAGAAAGTCTAAGTGATTTGCCTCAGATCACAGAGCTAGTAAGCATCTGAAGCTGCCTTTAAACTTAGGTCTTCTTGACTCAAGGTCCAGCTCTATCTGCTGTGGTCACCTAGCTGCCTCTGTAGACAGAGGGTGGATATCCCACCTCTGATGCATACTGACCATGAGACCTTGGGAAAATCAATTTACCTTCATTAGAGCTCTAGGTCATTCTACTCATCTCAATATAGGAACCCCCCCCAAAACACTATTTTAAAAAATTTAATTTGTATGAATTAAAGAAAAATCATAGTGTTTTTGGTATCAAATTTAAAAATAAAACACACTTCTCTCTCTCTCTCTCTCTCTCTCTCTCTCTCTCTCTCTCTCTCTCTCTCTCTCTCTCTCTCTCTTTCTATATATATATATAGTGTGTGTGTGTGTGTGTGTGTGTGTGTGTGTGTGTGAACTTGTTAGCAGGAGTGTGAACTCTTTTGACCAGTGGAAAGTTTGCAAAGATAAAGCTTGTCAATGTGGATTCTATCCAGTTGAGAGTTCCTGTGTAAATTGATAACATGTTTATCTCTCACTACTTACATTGTCAATTTACAAACTGCCTTTTCTTATCCCTCATTCTGTATGCATAGGTCAAAATAGCTCACATCCCTATAACAACAGAGTTCTGGCCTCTTAATTTGTTTAATTCTTAGATATGATAATGAGAAGAGAGTCCACAGTAAATAGAGAGTAAGCATTGGAGTCTGGAAGACCTGAGTTCAAGTCCCATTTCTAATGCATACTGGCTTTATGTCCCTTTGAAAGTCACCTAATCTTTCAGTGCCCCAGGCAATGTTTGAAGACTTTAAGTTTTAGAAAAGGTTCCAATCTGTACTTATAGAGGATAAATTTTTTTTACTCAGCAGTTCACTGGACCAGTTTCCATTCTAGTGAAAATAATGATAACTTCAAAAAATTGAAACAATTGAAATTCTTATCCAAAACATATAATTGGACAAAATAGTTTCTGATAATTTCCTTTATTTCTTCGTCAATTGTTAGTTCTCCTTTTTCATTTTATACAGTTTGTATTTTAAAAATCATATTAGCTGTTTATATTAGGTGTATTTGGTTTTTTTTAAAAGCTCAGTTTCAACGATTTATTCGTTAGTCTTTTTGCTTTTAGTTTTGCATGTTTTATCCCCAGAATAGAACCTATGCTTCTTAACGGTAGGGACTTTTTTGGTTTGTCTTGGTAGTCTCAGAATCTAGTACAATGCTTTGCACATAGTAAGCACTTAATAAATACTTGTTGATTGCATTGATGTGTATTAGAAGCTACCAGATGGCCTGCATCTTGTCCTAGGGACAAAAATCCCCAGCTCTGATACACCTCCCTTTTGTTATCAAAGTTGTTTTATGTTTCAAGAAATCTTTTATGATCATTACGTATGTAACATATGAAAGAAAATCTTTAATCAATGCTTTTTTATATGGTTAACAAACAGTAAAAATGGTAGGATCTTATATTCTCTCTGCCTTTTAATTATGTAATTGTAAAGATGTGATCTGTATTAGAATATTCTTTTCAATAGCCTATTACCATCTTACATTTTAATTGAAGATGTCATATATACATATGCTTACATATATATATATATATATATATATATATGTTTGTGTAATTTTGAAAAGAGAGTTAATAAAGATGAGAAATTAGACACATGGGCTAGCAGTTTTTGACCTCTCAATCACCTGTTCTTGATGGTAGAAGCCAAGTGTGGTGGGTGGCTCTACTTTCACCGATAGAGAAAACAATTGTTAATATAAATACTCACAGAATTTTTCCATTTTTATTTGTTTGTTGTCCTCCTTCCAGTTTCATACTGTTGGAACGACCTAACTCAATTCGATCTTATATTAAGCTTTTGGTGAAGTTTTTTATCCTCCATATTTTGCTGTCCTATATGTCCATCTTTGCATTGAAGTCACTGCTATTAAAATATATGTTGATTTAGTTCTAGAGATCTTATTGAGTACTTTTTAAGAACTTCTTTGTTTTCTCATCCTCTATGACAGATGTTGGTAAGTAAGCTGTAATTGTCTTCATAGTGATCTTTTGGCTACAATGTAAAAATTACAAGTAACCCAGGAAATGATGTTTCCAGTTGCTTTGGGACATACAATAACAGCAACAATGACCACAACAACAAACTTCTTTGTCTCTCCAAGGAGAATCTACAAGCGTTTTTTCACTTAACTACATTTTGTTTATACCTGCCAGGTTAATTTAGGTCAAGGATGTCAACATTGATATGTTTGAATCCCTACAACGCTTCTTCTGGGTGCTGAAACCTAAACACCCCACTTCCCTAATCCTCTGCTCCGAAACAGTCCATCTCCCCCCCACTTTCTCTTAATTCCTCCTGACACGCTTATCTCTCTCAGTAGCAGACCTGTTTTCCCTCTCTTAATGCCCTTAAGCACATAAAGGTGCTTAAAATTTTCTAAAGGCACAGCTGTGCTATGAGGTGAAGCTTCTTATCATGGAGAAATAAATCCCCTCTAAGTGCCACTTTTAATAAACTAGGATAGGTTTCACCTGGCCTTTCTCTATCTTGCCCCACAAACAGAGTTTGGCAAGACTCTTAGAAATTACATACTTAAGCAACAAAATTATTCTCCTAGTGTTACATTGAATATGTTTGTTCATTAAATATAAAATTTCATTGACTCTTTTTCTACCTTTTCTGCTTTGTTTCTTTTCATTTGTTTGTTTTTTGTTTTTTCAGACTCAGTCAGCTCATTGATCATTAGACAAGGCTCTTACATTTAGAGTACCAACAGTAAATGTTTATAAATCCTCTACAAACGGAGTGATTCATAGCATCCTCTACTTCCTTTTCTACCACTCCTCTCACCAGCAGATGGAGGCTACACAGAACTGAAGGTCATCTTTAACTTTTCCTTGCCTTGTTGATTTGCCTTTGCCAAAGAATCACTGAGAGGCCAATCTATTGGCAGCAAACTTCTCTACATTTTTGCTAGTCTTGTTCTCAAGAAAGCAAACAGAGTGTGGTACCAGGGTCATACACAGACCCTTTGTAACATGGTAGAATATAACAGAAGTTGTGCTTTGCATCAAGAACACACTCCTCTCTCTCTCTCTCTCTCTCTCTCTCTCTCTCTCTCTCTCTCTCTCTCTCTCTCTCTCTCTGTATATATATATATATATATATATACACACACACACATATGTATGTATGTATGTATATGTATGTATATATGTATATATGTGTGTGTATATATATGCATATATGTGTGCGTGTGTATATATACATATTTATATTTAATGTTCATTTATGATATTTTTAAAAGTCTAGACCCACAACATCAATGTAAGAAGTTCCTAGTGTGGAAATTTTCTCCCTGGGATAAAAATTGACAACTCCTCTGGAACTTAGTCTTTGAACGCTGCCTGGGGGCACTGAGAGGTCATGTAACTTAATATGGGTCACACTGTGACTATGTCTTCCTTATTTCAAAAAAGTCCTACTGGTGCTCTATCCATTAGGCCATACTGCCATTCTTTCATGAATGATATTGACCTGAAATTTCCCTTTCTTTGCCTTACCTATGACAGTCAGGATCAAAAAA